CACAAAGCTCGACAGTTGCCATCTAAATGGGTTCCGTGGCCTGTATCAACTGAAGCTTGGCAACGTATTCATGCTGATTATTGTGGTCCATTTCTCAATGGAATGTATGCTCTTGTTGTCATTGCTTCCTTCTCCAAGTGGCCAGAGGTATTTTTCACTAGGTCGCCCTAATCAGATTTTATTATTCATGCTTTGCGTAAAGTTTTCAGTCGGGAGGGTATTCCTGTTGTACTTGTTACTGAGAATGGCAGTCACTTCTACGCGAAAAGTGTTTCGGAATGGCTGCACAGTATTGGCTGCAAACATTTGTTTACTGCTCCTAGTCATCCCTGCTCTAATGGACAAGCAGAGAATTTTGTTGGAACACCTAAAAGTGCTATTAATGCTTTGAATCCATCCACATTTTCTGAACTTGAAAGAGGTGTTGATCTGTTTCTTTTACAATATCGTAATTCTGTTCATTCCTCCACTAAAGAGACACCTGTTAAACTTTCAAAAGGTCGAAATCTGAGATCCAATTTATTCTGTATTTATTCTTCTGAAGTTGTATTTTTCCGTGGTAATGAATGACCTAAGACACTCTTCAGGAATTGTCCTAAAATCTTTAGGTCGAAGAATGCTTCAACTACTTGACAAGGATGATTTGTGGACCAAATTCGCTTCGACAATCCAAGTCAGCCAGTTCTATTTCATGATGAAAATTCCTAGTCCAATTACGTTTCTTTGGATACTAAGCAAGTCGATACTACTGATGAACAGAATGTCGAACAACAAGCTGCTACGGAAGAATTACTTGTGAATGAACGAGTCCTACGATAGTCTGAACGACTGATTGCGAAGCCACGACTGGATTACAGAAATCCTGTGGTCAATTCAAGATGCGACGAATGTGATGTGTGACACTGACCTCGAAAATTCCTTGTACACTTTAAATGCACTGAATATGCATAGTATACGATTCGAATAACTGACGTGTGCTATTCGATTCGAATTTGTTCTATTTCGGGAATTGGTATTGCGCGCATTCTGGAGCTCCATTTTTAATACTATTCACAACACTACACTTAATCATCCGTTAGCGATTATTGGACTAACAGTAGATTAGTGTTCGGATCGATGCAATTAGTTTTGAAATGTAAACGGTAGGTTTGTTCTGTTACGGACCAAATGGGGATTGGAGCTGACTGATGATAATTGCGGTGATAAAATGATCGAGAGCAACCCTTGACATCAAGCTAATCCAAGGGTCGAACGAATATTTCGTTGGTGCTGTGCATTCTCATAACAGCTCACATTTCACTCTACCATAATTTACCGTTTTCGACACATCGAGTAATTCTGTACGAGATTGCACTATGATGATAATTTTATGATTTAATCATCGTGATCCCGAATGTTTTGTGGACAGCAGATTGGAAACTGAAAATTTCTTGCTATACCTAGTCAAAACTGAACATGGTGCCCGTCGCGGGTACGTGAACAAGCTATGGTGCATTTATTGAACATTCTTCAGTTCATATGCGCTATCTTTTCTACTCAGTATCGTGCCTGGATGGGTTTCAACAACTCTGCTCTGCTTGATTCCGAATGTTAGCGCTTTTCACAAATAGCCATCAGGTGGCTTAGATTACGGGGTAGAAATTAGCGGTCGATTTTATCGTGGGTCTAAAGGTTCCTCCAACCGTTTCAGCGCGCGTTCATTCGTGCATGCGTGGGCTTCGCTACGTTGTCATATCTGTTATTCGATTGACGCAACCTGGAGCCAACCTGCTCACACACGTATTGGAATCAATCTATATTGCTGTTTGTCTGAACCCCACATAGCATAGGATGTGAATCTTCCAAGTGCGACACGTTCTTTTTTCAAGGCCGTCAGAGGCCCGAAATCGTCCGTTGTTCTGTTCGCCTGCCTTTTTGCAAACGCGACAGTCCGTCGCTTGTGTGACCCAGTTTCGGGACAGCGAAGGCTGGACCACTGAGTCATTGCGTCGCCTGATCTGTGTTCACGTTCATCGTCCAATAGCGGGCTCGGTCTTTTGATGTTAGCTTTTTTCGTGAAACGTGTAAAGATCTCAAATGTATTTGTTCATATATTATTGATATGATATCAGACTCACTATCTCCGCACTGTGAAGATGTCGAACTTTGACAAAGAGTGGAGCAAATACGACACCGCATGCGCAAATTACAGGACCAATAATTCTTTTCTGTCTAATTTCTCTTGATACAAAAATGTACAATCTTCATTTTGGTATAGCGTAACGCGAAGACATCCCATATTAAACCAAGCATGGAAATTTAGTTTCTCATTGCACGTGTAATTTTAATTAATCAATGTCGGATTAAGGTGTCTATTGGGTAGGCAACATGATGAGAGACGATAAATTATGTACTTGTCAGGGTTTTCCGCCGATAATTTGTCATCTGGTAATCCTGAGCGCGGAACGCAAATCTACGGCCTTTATACTGGGGTGTTTCAATGTTTCTGTTTTCGTTTCTAGGTTTTATAGTATTAGCTCAACACTCCAACAACGTTTGTAGTCGCTCGCTTACTTTCCATGTGGCTACGGATTGGCATTATTGTGGAGTTGTGTCTATCGGAGTGGCAAGCCCTTTTTGAATTCAAGATCATCTAGATCACAGAATGGGAGGCTATGGGCAACAAATTTTAGAAATTGTTGCTCAAAGGTATACAGTGTATGTGTTGGTGTTTTGGTACAAAAGCGACGCACTATGGTCAGTTGCGGTGACTGAGCGGATATTCGCAGTGCATTGATCCCTTATTTTTCTCCTATTCTTTTTCATTATACTTGTGGATGGCTCCTGTTTTTTTTCCTAGCAACTCAAGTGCAAAATGCTTGCATCTTTGTTGATTTTATGTGGCTCTGATTAATACGATGTAAAGATTGGTCATTACGGAAATCTGATCATAGAAGCTAGATAGAGAGAGAATTCTGTTGAGGTTGATATCCTTTCAATGTATTGTCGTTTGATCGCTCCTAGCAAAAGAACTCCTATTGTTCTCATTCATGCGCAGATAAATTTGAACTCTTAGTGTAATAAATACTCGTTGTACGGACCATGTAGTTAGTGGAACGGGATTTATGATTTTGAATTCGACATCAGCTTCCATTCTGCTTTAGAACTTCATGGTTCATAATCGCGGTACTGACCATTAATTTCTTTATCTGATAATTTCGATGAATGAATCTTTTGTATAACTTTGCTTCAGCGTGATGTGATTTTTCAGCTGAATCTTTTCATCCTGATCCATAGAAACTGGTCAACCAAATTTCTACATCTTTCTCCTGTGGTGCAACGGTGAATGGCATGGAAGTCGATGGATCGGATTTTGTCACGCGTTCCCACTTTCCATGAAGAGAATGCAACAAAATTATTGGTATTGTGTAGTACTTTGACTTGTTGTCTGTCTCTACCATTAGCTTGTCGATTTCAGTGTTAGGATTTTTCACAAGACATTCCTATTTCGAAGGCTTTACTCCGAGTTGTGTTTTTGTGACGTTTTGCAATCGCTTGGTAAACAGTGTATTGATTGGACAATAAATTCCCAATCACTGCGGTCTTTTGATATCTGTGATGGTCGTCATTACACTCGTCTTATTTTGGAACTGTATTCACTGTTCGCGTTCTGTTTTCTTATCTTTATTTTCCCAGTCATCCGTTCAGTTTATCAATTCAGCCAGTTTTTTCCTCTGATGTGAAGAGACCGTTTTTTTTCAGTTGATCTCTTTGGAAGGTTGAAGTCGCTGCTCTTTTAGTCCCAAAATATCTTGTTTATCTTTGTGATTTTGGGGGAATAATTTGCCTGGCCTCATAATGCGGTTGCGGCTTACCACTGCGAGATGTTACACTGAATACGAATGGTTAGCTCTCGAATATTTGCTTTGTATGGAAACTTTTTCCTTGGAATACGTCATTTGACTTTCAAAAACGCTCTCCCTTTTGCCGTTATGTATATTGCGAGCCCCTCGCACCTTTTGATTTCGACCGGTTAATCTAGCACGACTTTTTCCCAGAACTTGAGACATAATATTTCAAAACTTTGATGGCTCCCGCGAAATCCTATGTACTGGAACTGGCTACCAATTGGACATTGATTTCAGCGTGCAACGAGATCTACTGCGGGTAGTCGGAACTCAGACAAACTATGGCGGGATTTAAGCGGCCATTTTGCAGGCATTTCAACATTTGCCACCTGCGCCCCCTCCCGTTTAATTAAAACCGTTCCCCTTGAACGTCAGTACCACAACTCAGAGCAAAACATCCACCGTAGTACGCAATCGTCTACGGTTCATTGAAGCATTTAACAGAAGAAACGAAACACCTCGCTGGAAAATCGATGGACATTTACGCACAACGATGAAAGCGATCGAATTAAACTAAGAACTCCGATCTGCACACTTCTTTGCCTAACTGCTCAAACCATACAATACTGCAATACAAAACACGATGCGCCTTTGGGACACTTTAAAAAACAAGCTACTGAACTACCGATGTCCCCATCGGCTTCCAAAGTGCTTAGGTCTGTCACTTATTCCGAGAGCCCAACATGATAAGCACGGACCTTGACTACATGTGGTCATCGTGTGCTGTCGCGTAAACCCGTGTCACATGCGTATTCAGGTTAAGACCAAACGTCTCCACTCCGAGTCTGCGTGCACGACCAAAAAATCCCGCATCGACCACTGTCACGGATCACTACACTAACAGGGTGGTTGTGAAGTGATTCGATATAAACAGCCTCCATACTAGACTACACTACACGTTATTGGATCGACGTAACGGACCAGGCAACACGAAGGACAAGAGTGATCACGCAGCCAGATAGCATCAAACTCGCAATAGTGAACCCTCAACTGCACAACCGCAAGGCTACGCGCCCGATCCACTAAATGCAAAAAGAACCACTGAAAGACGGAAAGGAAATTTCATTGATACCACTTTCACAGAACTCAACGTGAACAACAAACATTAAGAGCTCAGTCAACTTCTTCGATGGTAGGTCCTCTTCCTCCGGAACCTCCTCCAGGAGCTTTACCCGGGAAACCACCAGGCATACCACCCATACCTTCACCTCCAGCCCCAGTGGCTTGGTACATCTTGGTGATAATCGGGGCGCAAACCTTCTCGAGCTCCTTCTGCTTGTGCTCAAACTCATCCTTCTCCGCAGTCTGGTTGTTCTCCAGCCAGCTGATAGTCTCGTCGCATTTGCTTGTGATGGTACTACGATCGGAATCAGACAATTTGTCCTTCACTTTCTCATCCTCCACAGTCTGCTTCATTGAGTAAGCATAGCTTTCCAAAGCGTTCTTTGCCGCAACGCGATCGCGGTGGCGTTCGTCATCCGCCTTGTACTTTTCTGCATCGGCAACCATCCGATCAATGTCGTCCTTCGACAGGCGCCCTTTATCATTTGTAATGGTGATTTTGTTCTGTTTTCCAGTGCTTTTATCGACTGCCGACACGTTCAGAATACCGTTGGCATCAATATCGAAGGTCACTTCGATCTGAGGCACACCCCGAGGTGCAGGAGGTATGCCTGACAATTCGAACTTCCCAAGTAAGTTATTGTCCCTTGTCATTGCACGCTCGCCTTCGTAGACCTGAATCAATACACCAGGTTGGTTGTCCGAGTAAGTGGTGAATGTCTGAGTTTGTTTGGTCGGAATCGTGGTGTTCCTCTTGATCAATGCAGTCATTACACCACCGGCAGTCTCTAAGCCCAATGACAATGGGGCGACATCCAAAAGCAGTAAGTCCTGCACAGCCTCAGACTTGTCACCACTCAAAATGGCCGCCTGCACAGCGGCACCGTAAGCCACAGCCTCATCAGGATTGATTGACTTGTTCGAGTTCTGTTTTTTAACCCCATTTTTTTGAAACTTTTCAGTTTACCTTAGTGTTTTTCTACTTTCCTTCTCGTAGGAGCCTGGTGTTGTGATATGATCCCAAATATTCATTATGTGATGTGTGTATTTATGTTCCCGTTCATAGTCACAGACTCTCGGACAATGTATAGATTTTAAGTATACGGCCTAAATATCTGATCATTCCTTTTTTAATAAACATATTGTTCCCTAGCATGAGATTATTTTTCTGGTGAATGAATTGTCATTGACAAATCTGACTGGATTCACGTGTGAGATGTTATCAGCGTAATGCCCTGGAATGGAGTGATTTATTTCAAACTCATGTGAAAATTTAGCAATATTTTGAATCTCATGCATTCCTGCAATGTATTTGCTTTTTCACTCGTCAGTATGATATTAATTTGTACACTTCGCAGCTCACTACGTTTAGTCTATCAGGTTAGTAGATACTTGTTTCAAAGTAATGCTATCAGTAGAATTGAAACTTAAGTGTGTAAAAATTAATCCTTTCGGAATTTAACTGCCTCATTGTAGAGAAACGGGAAGTACCCGTGTGAGTCTACAGCCGAATGCTGTTCAGTTGAGATGGATTGTCATATCGAATAAAATCCGCATGCCGTCAGTGGGCTGGGAAATCAAGGATATTTTAATCTTTTCAATCATTGACAACTTCATTGATTCAATCACAATGTGGCTGCATATTAATGAGCTTCAGAATCGGCCATTCTTTTTGTGACGTCAATGCCTAACATAGAACAATCCCGGTAAATTACATTCAATTGGTCTATGATGATACAGCGCTGGAATTATCCCGGAATTTTCTGAGTCTAAATTATGTGGAATAACTGTTTTATTAACCTTTTGTCTCAGTGTGTACTGACCATTGTAAACGTCGTAGACACGTGATCTGGGAATGATTTATAATATTTTTATTTTGAAAATGTTTTTTTGCATTTGTTTGTCACATTGTTCTCTTTGGATCTCGCTTGCATTGGTTTGGATGAGATTTGATTCACAAATGAATCTGCTTACCATGCCCTTCCGAATGTCGGCAATTTTCACCTAGGTAAGGTAAGGTGGTTAATCACCGAGCGGAAATGCGAAAGGATCGATTTTGTGGTTGGTCTAAAGGTCCCTCTAACCGTGCCAGTGCGCGTTCGTCCGTGCATGCGTGGGCTGTATCGGAATGACGTAATCTGGAACCAATCTTCTCGTATTGGCGTTGGAATTAACCTGGTATTGTCTTTCTGGCCCCTACACGACAGCCGCATTGGTTGGCTTATGTGGGGCCTGTTTTTTTCAAGGTCGTCCGTTGTTCACCTGCGTTTTTGTACGTGCGAACGTTCGTCGTTTGTGTGACCTGAAGAGGCTGGTTCACTGAATCATTTTGTGGTCTGATCCAATTCTGTTTTTGTGTAGCTGCTGTGCCCTTGTGTGTTCTGTGGTCACGCAGTCGGTCACGAACGCTGGCGGTCAATATGTTTTCGGTTAACTTGTTGTTGTTGTTGTGATATACTACTCACATTTGTGAGTAGTTCACAAAAAGATGCGGTTGGGGGGTTATTTCAACGGTCAAAAATAAACAACACCACGTATAGCGAATTGCTGTGCTCCAAAAATAACTACGCGGTGTTCCATTCATTATCCTGTGTGCTGTTGGGAATGTTGATGTTATGTTTCAAATGAAATATGTAGTTATATGTATGCCACATTATCCATATCCTAACTGTAATCTGCAACAAATAACTATCGTCGACCGGGCAACGCCTTCGGGAGTTAGAACATTATGATAGCCTTGAAAAACGCGTGAACATTGGTATGCTCCTCGATGTCTTTCTAATTGGTGCGTCTTGTTTGACATTGATTGCTCTTGGATTTCTTTTGTGTGATGATTGAAGGTTGAAATTTGCATTAATCCGCATTGTGAATGCATTATTTAATCCCATCCGATGTCGGATGCAATAAAGTGGATGGCAGCATGCATTACACATCTGCCTTTTGTTCTACACGCATCTGCACAGTTGATGAGTGCACGTTACATACTGTACAGCTCACTATTTTAGTGTCCCATTTTACGCAGGTAGACACAACAGTCCCCCTACTGACAACACACAAAGTCGATACAAAGTTAGTTGACATTTTATATTAAGTTTGGACCTCTCAAACGGTGCATTATTTTTTCAGAATAAATAAGCCACATGCTCTTTAGAAATGTGTTTTATCGCCTTTTCGATTAATCAGCTCAGTGATTCTTAAATTGATACTAATTTTTTTTCTCTACATCTAACCTCGTGATACTGCTTCCCATGGTGTATGTTACCGCTGTTCCCACCTGATCAAACCAGGGCTGAAACAAATTGTGAATTCAGATGTGTTCAGATGTCGTCTTCAACGACAGTCAGTTAGCTCATTTTCGGCTCGACAGCTGTGCCTCCCAGGTGTATGGTTGACTAGAAGAACTGAGGGTTGTGCGTGAAACTGAAGTCTGAAGGATGTTTAGTTCAAATCAATATATTAATTAACCTATAAAGCTACTCACAAGTGACTGTGAATTAAAAGCCAATTATCAATCCAGGTTTGTGATAAATCAGCTCGTAACCTGCATGGAAGGCCTGGTTGGTTGGGAGGCTTTCAACTGCAGTTTACAGATGGTCAACTGTGTCTCCCTTCATTGCTGTCGGATAAAAAATGAACTGATTGACTATCAGTGAAGACTTGATTAAGAAATGAGATAATTTAAGGTTCGTATTTTAGGCCCAGTGATGATGAACACAGTTCACAAAAATGTACCTCCATTGCTGTCATCAGTAAAAGTTGATTCCAACACCTGACACCATTACGACGGTTAACTGCACGACATAAGATCACCACATCTAGTTTGATCAACTAGCTTTGCAACATTGTCTTCGTAAAAAATATAATTTCTCAACATTAATTCACCTCAGAGTATATTCCGGTACTTTTTTTATCTGGCTTGCTTACAGTGGTGTGACTACAGTTCCGCAAGGCTAAGGACTACAGAATGTGACTAGGGAATCGCCGGTTTTGGCTAAAGCTTGCTGGGGAAAGAAGTAGAGCGATTCCGTGATTCAGTTGAGATTCAATTGGGATTCCTGATCCGTGATTCGTGTTGATTCCGACTCCTACCGTATCTCTACGGCCAAGGAACGGTTTGACCTGTTGAACAAGTATTTCCGCATGTGTATATCCGGTCTCACAACAACATAGAGCAATGGCTTAGTATGAGAGTTTTATTGGGGTAAATTTTGTATACTGGCTGAACGAACTTCCTTTCCGAGTGCCTAAAATGCCTGTGGACAGTCAAAATTGACTGAGCCATGCATTCGATCACGTCCTTCCTAAAATGCAGATAACAATAATGTTCTGACTAAGTTTAGGTTATTCACTGAGTATCGGAAGGGGTCTTTCTTTTCTCCTAAGGTATAATATTCATGTATGTGAATGCTTGTAAACAACTTTAGATCTTTTGCTTCAACCCAACCGTCTGACATAATACCAACCAAGAAACTACGTGGTACAGTTTCGGGAGAACTCATGAGAGATCAATGATTTGGACTAATCAAAAGCCACGCGGTTCAAACAGAAGCCGGTGTGATGAAAAGAACACGACCGTTGCACGTCGGTAATTCTATTTAATGGAATTAAAGCCACGATCTAGTGTGGCTTCCAGTTTATTTGTTTTTGTGTGATTTATTCTCTCTCATTCGTCATCAATCAGCCGTACCCCAAAATGGGTAGTAGCAGATTGTTATGTAATTCTTCTGTAAACTGTTCATTTGAATCAGTCAGACAAGTGCTATCAACAACAGATAATGCAAATGAGCCCCGTTTGTATCCCGGTTGGTTGTGTTGTAACTCACATCTTGATGACACAATTGGGGTATGTCGATTCACCTAGGGTGAATGGAAGCAATTCGAGTGTAATTCTCATCAGCTTGGATGAAATACACCTCTCTTCAACCCAACCCCCAGCTGTGCATGGAGTGAATCCGTTTATCGAACCGTACTAGTTTATGTTGGTAAGTAGATCGTGCAGCAACCTCTCTCAGTCCATCGCATCATCGTAACATGCACACTGCCAATTGTCAATTAATGTGTGTGGTAACTTCAATAGGTTTGATGTCAGGTTTTTGACAACCCTTGGACTACAAAACGTTAACTTTCCGACTAGACTCCAGGCTTGTCTTGATTTGTGTTTCATTAACGACCTGAATTTATTTAACTTACGCTGTCGTTCCCCTATTGGCACCTCTGATCATGCAACACTGAAATTATCTCCCACGATCTA